ACAAAACACAAAATGTACAAAAAAGAAAAACACACATTGGTCATCCTATTTGCGCTTTTGCTTTGTTTGTAATCGCTTGCTTGCACTTTAAAAAAAAACTCTCAGTATCCTGATTTTTAAAAAGTCAAGTAAAACAAAAATATGTATCGCCAGTGAAATCAAAGCTAATCTGGAGAAATGGCAGTTTTTTAAGTTTTATTGTTTTTAACGTGTGCCGTGCCAAATGTAGACAAACTGACCGTTAGCTTAACCCCTCCCACGCGCAGCGTCTGTCCAATCACAGCTAGGCTTTTTAAAGAAATAAATATGAAAGTAAGTAAAAGATTTAATAGTTATCTGCCTCAGTGTGTAGATTAAACTGTCAGCGTGTGGGCTCCATAAAGAAGCTAACACCTGCTAACTGGCCCAGGCTGAGGTGGGGTGAGTGGACATTAGCTGGACAGCGTTTGGAACAGTCTGTGTCGCGTGTTGAACGTCATGTGGACAAGTCCACAGTCCAGTCCAAGTCCTCAAACTGTTGAAAGCTGGGCTCACGTCTGTGTTAGCATGTAGACCAGAGTCTGAGCAGCTGTGTGTCACAGACGAGTCCACAGTTACGACACTTTCTCTCAGAGCTGTAAAGAATGCAGAGGAGAAACTCAAAGTTCACTCCTGCTGTCCATCGTAGAACAATCCAGTTAAATCTCACGGTTCAGTGTAGGAACGGGCAGAAGTGTCAGGCGGGGTCCTCGTGGTTCAATGAAGGCTTTCTCTGTTTGTCGTGGACCAAAGTGGGTTAGGGTTCTTTCACCTGCCCCAGGGAGGAGGAGAACTCCTGCAGGACTCAGATTGAGGCAAACTTTTCTTGACGAGTTGCAAAATGAGAGATGTTGACTTCATTGTGGTGCAGACAGCCCACAGCCTCTTTGACCTGGTAGAGGTGACGAGTGGGTGAACGTTGGGGTACTTTGAAACTCTGGCCACTAACTGAACTTTAATCCAGCGTCTCCCTCGGGCTGCACATCAGTCTGTGGAGATGCACTTTGTCTCTTATCTGGGACTTCCTCGAACTCAATTATCTCTTCAGCCTCTTTATCTATCCTATCCTCACGTGCACATCCTCCCTGTTATTACCATCAGTGACTGAGGGCTCTGTGTAAGCTCTGTAAATGTGATATGTCAGCTGAGTCCTGCAGCAGCGAAGGGCTCGCTGAGTAGCCCAGCGTACTGCTGCAACATCAGGAACAGCTGTGCGCTTCATCAAACATTCACACACACCTGATTACTTATATATTTACCTACAGTAACAGGACATTATATAGATCACAGACAGGGCATTTTAGTCATAACAAAACAAATGTAGATATTAATCAGCCTCTGACACTGAGCCACACAGACCTTTACGATCAAATCTGTGTTCTGTCGTTACGTTACGGTTCACACAGGCCTGCTCTCTGCTCCATCAGCCCCACCTTAAAGCTTCCTCCTGCTCTCTCCCCAAGCAGCATGTTGGCTGCTGTCCTCCACCTCCTGCTCTCCTACATCTCGCTCTTCATTAGCTACAGCTGCCTCCTTTCTTTCACCTCCCACAGAAACTGTGGAAATATGAAAACAGAGACTGTAAACTGGGCCAATTATTAGTGTTTTTCCTTTGGTCTGTAGGTACTCTGTTGTGCTGTGACCGCTGGTCCAGCATGTCTTTGAACCTCCTCAGGCTTTTTGAGTCTTTGGACCTAACATAATTGTTTTCATTGGTTTGAACAGTCGATAAATGCTGAGCAGCTGCTGATAGATGTGTTTGTAGCTGTGTGGAGTGAGGGATTCCCCGAACAGTCTCGTGTCACCTTACTGTTTGACCCGTCATCAGTTTACAACAGTGATTCACTGTTAGGTTCCCAGGGCTGCAGGGCAGAACACGCTAAACTGCTGCAAACAAGCAGCGAGTCCGTACTTTAAAGAAGTACTTTTAGAAGAACATGATTTGGTTGCATCGGGCTCTGTAAGGGAAAGCCAACACATAACCACTAAACAGCAACTTACAGAGCAGTTTTGCTGTTAGCCCACCAGTTATATGATTATATGATTCTCCCTGGAGACCTGATGACATGTTATCAGTTTGCAGAGATACAAATGGGGTTCTTACCTTCTGAACGGCTCAGCTGTGTCCCGGCATCACCTTCATCAAACTGTTCACACGTTTAGTTAAAGATCAGCAGTTGCAGATTTTCACAGCTCACTGAGCTCAGCACCTTGTTCATGAGTAGAGCTGCCTGCACGTTGAGATACAGACTCTCTGCATCAGCTTTTTGTTTTTAAAAGGGAACATTTGTTTCTTTCAAGGTCTTTAAGATCATCCTGTAGACATTTCTAAATACCTGGGATGTTATAATACTGTGATGTCACCGAGGCCTCGTGTCCCTGTTAACTTAAATATCCAAACAAAATAAGAAGGCTCTTTAAATACTCGCTAAGAGCTTTTTGGATTAGCTGGTGGGAGCAGAGCTGTACTCGTGTTTCTGTGCGTTCACCTTATGTCGAAGCTTTACAGTCGCAGTAACTGTAACAGGAGGGCGGGGCTTAGCAGACGGTCAGTAACGCGACTACACGATTGTGAAAGCACAGGCAGATAAAAACGTGCGTCTGTAGCCGACAGACGAACTTGACACAGCCAGAAATGTCCGACGCTTTTTTAACCGCTTCTAGTAAGAAAAATATAATCGCTCACGTGTTCACGTGTTCTTCCTCTAATGTTTTTAACATTCTCTGTATCACAGCGTTGTCGCATTAATTTTCTCGTTTC